CTTTCCCTCCCAGGAAAAAATGACAAGTGATTGTTTTCACCTAAATGTTTTTACTAAGTTTGTTTTCTGATGCGTTTTCTTAAATCAAAGCTCAAACACAGCAACATGTCTGGCAGGCTAGTCCCAAAGGGATACAACCTTCTTTTACAGAGCAGATGCAGTTCAGAACAACTGCAAGACCCATAAAAACACAGAGGGATAGTTCCAAGTCCAAGGCCAGCATCCCCATTGCTTCACTGAAACTTCTGGTGACGACCGTCCCTGAGAAACAGGCTTCATGATGCAGTTGTCCTTCATTCCAATAGTGTGCCCGTAAGGTGCAAAACCAAGAAGTAACTGGATTTCATGAATGATTGCCACTGGAAAAAGGGGCTGGTGCCCCTTCTTGATTCTCTACTGAAGGCCAAATTATATCCCCAAGCTATATCAAGTGGTTTAACAAAAGGTACTATGCATCTCTACACTGTTCTCCTGACATTATCCCATCTTGACACTAAGGACTCAGTTATCGGAACAGGCTGCTCCAGTACAGAAAGTTACTACTCCAGTTAAGCAGTGTAATCGACTGTACATCCTCTCAACCCATTGCAAACAGAAGACCACCCTACTTAAATTCAAGCAGAAAATGTTTAGTGCTTTTACTGAAGCAGACTAAGAGTGTACATGTGCTTACTGCAGTTCAGCTGACACATGGTTTTGGTCACGTGCCTGAGTTAACATTAAGCTGTTGACAAAGACAGCAAGAGTAAGTAGTCACAATTGCTGTTCTTTGACCTTCTGTAGTGTCTGCAGCTCACCACAATATACAAAGGCTGATATAAATGTGCTCCTTCACATCCACAGTTGTGCGAGGAACTTGAGATCATGCCATTTCCAAAGAGGTCAAATGAAGAAGGATTAAGGTCTGAAGTTGTAGGCACATGGCCTGTACCTCTAAGTCCCTATAGCTCCTAGAAAGAAAGGGTTCCTTCTTCCTAAGCTACTTGCAACTGTTGTAGCTGGCCTTCAGTTTGAGATGACTTGCCAGACTCCACGCACAATCCATTTCTCTACACTGCCTCTAAATTCAGGTATTCATCCTCTGCTTCCTCTTTCCCCCACCACATAACTTAGGCACACTTGTTATTTTAAATTGTTTAAGGAAATAAGCACATTTACTCTTCCCCTGCCTAAAATATCGCTATCTTTCCGTCCATCTCGTAGCATATGAATCCTCAGAAGGAAACATCACTAAAGAAAGAATAGTTAGGAATCAGTCCTGTGACAAAGGTGACAAGGGACATTATCAATGCAAAATAACATTCAGATTTAGTAGCATTTTTATACGTACTTTATGCAGATATAAATGAAATATGATGAATCATTACTGCCATGTGTCCATGACTATGAGGAAAATCTTGAGGCAGAATAGTTTTACAGATAGCCAGTCATCTTAAACAATAGAGGCAATACAACTGCACAACTGGGTCCTTGTTTTTAAAATTCTTGTGTGTCCTTTGTTACATTGACATGAGCACCTAAACTAGTCACAGGAGCACTTACTCATATGCATAAGTATCAGCAAAATCAAGCTCCACGTTAGAGAAGAATTCAAAGTACTTCATTTTGCTCTGTGTGAAACCCCTAGAGGATGTGTCACACAGAACTGATAAGCAATTGCAAAACTTTTGGTAGTAAGTACTGAGCAGCACATTCAGAGTACTTCATGGAAGCAGGAGTGACTTTATCCTGTGCTCTGTACCAGCAAAATCCCATATTTTTAAGCTACCAGGCTGGTTTTCACTGGAAACTTTGGCATAGTCTGCCCAGACACAGGGAAAAATTATACATATGATCATCTGGATACATAGTCTGGCATTGGCAGAGCAGCAAAACAGACTAATGTGCAGGGGCACCATCACAGAAGAATAACACAAGTCCAGAGAGTGGCGCACAAGATGATTAAAAGGTTTATCTACTGCTACTGTTTGCTTTTGCCTTTTTCTGGAAAGGATAGAAAATCTATCCCAAAGAGCACGTCACTTAGGCAACCTGTAGCAATGTCGTGCTGATAGATGTTCCCTCACCCCATCTACAACCTCAAATCAAATAACTTCATTACAGACAGAAGTCTCAATAAAGTAAACTGGTTTATAAGTGCGGGGTAAGGTGTTTTCATGAAAAAGGACTGCATAAAGCCACACTTTCTCTAACCTTTGTTCCTTGCTTTCACTTTCTCCTCCTTGAGACATGGGTAAACCTGAAGACAGGGCCAAGCCTCCTAGGACAGATGAACAGCAACGTGTTATTAAAATAAAATGTGCGTGTAAGTGGTTTCTGAATTGAGACCAGAAAACCAAGCGTAATTAACCAACTGTGTTGAGAGCACAATTTTATAAAATGCAAACTACTCAGATTCTCACCCCAACCATTCCACAACTCCCTGTAGCAGCTTGTTCACAGAAAAACAATTTTTGCTGGTGGAAGTAAAGAAACTGGGATGAGAGATCTAGACACCGACTTTCACAGACACCAAGTAAGAAACAGGTTTTTAAAAGGGGACAGAGCAAATAAATTGTGACCAATTCATATTACATAGACTAATAAACAGATCTGTGACTGAAATCTGGCTTTGCTGCTTATTGATCTTGAACTCATAGAAATTAGTTTGTCATCAGATAGAAAGTTACTCAGTCCTAAAAGGATACTGACAGATTCCGTCACTGTCAATGAAAGAGAGTCCTGGAAAGAGTCCAAAGACTCCTCCTTTCTCTACCAACAGTGGAATTCTGCTTTCTGAAATAGAGTATGCTTATGGGATGAGCCAGTGAAAAGTGTCATGAGCTTGGAGAAGTTCTAGATCTTGGAACAAACTGAGGAGATCTCTCTATCAATTGTTTGATCATCTTTGTTACGTCACAAAACCGGAACCTGGGGGGTCTGGAATTTTGTCTTTGGTTTCCAGTGTTCACATTTCTAAAGACTCAGCTAAAGAGACCATCTCCCACCTGTGTTTGCAGAGTTCTTAGCTCAGTGGGTCCTAGATATTCCTTGGAGAATTTAAATGACACTACCATGCAAACAACCAACACTGAAGGTTAGTTTCATGTTGCCTTTAAGCTGATCTAACCTTATGCTGCTGCAGGAAGAGATGGGTTTCATCCTGCTCCCTCTCCTCCATTGCATCATATCCATCTATGTATGCAGCATCAGGGCTGCTGGCTCAGCTCCCTGAATTGATGGAAAACT